AACACACTTGCCTTACCATATTTTGGTAAACTCATAGAAATGGCAGCCAAAATACTGCATTCCTGCAACGCTACTGTCATTCCTGGTAAGATTATATCTTTTTTCATCATCTCGATCATTTTTTAAGATTTGTTCGATTGTTCTATTTCTAATCTTTTTTTTAGATCCTTCTCTACTTTTGTTATTTGGTAAGAAAGACACAATGGACGGAAAGGAAGCGGATTCGTTGGTAACCCAAGTTATCGACTTTGTCGGTAATTGCGCACGACATCCGGAATTCTTTACCGAGTATGTTTCAGCCATTTGCATTATCTTCTCATGAAGTTTAATTTACAGAGACCGTGCAACTATGCTTATTGGACCCCTGACGGATGAAATTGTTAACAGTAAACTGCCAGGTCATGAAAAACGATGTCATCATCTTGCGGATGCCCTTTATCGCGTATCTGATACGCATCCAGATCTCTTCCAGACTGTTCTGGATAAGATATTACTCAAGACCAGAAATGGAAGAGCTAAGGTAAAATTTATGTGACTTATCCAGGTATGAAAATCCATTTTTGCAGATCCGATATCGAGCATTGCTCGTAGTGGAAGCCATTGTCGATAAAGTGGGCGATGGGATCGCACCTCATCTGCCCATGGTGATGCCATTCCTTAGTGAACTACTCGAAGGTAAATTTTGACTTTCGATTTCGTTTATACTTGCAAAAGTCGAGTGCACGGATTCGCTCGTACCGCGCTGAACGTCCGCGCGCTCTAGCTCGCGGATGCCGGTACCGGTGCCATAATGGCCAATGCGCGCGAAACTCGCGCGCGTCGATACGAAGAGTTATCTTGGATGAATAAGTTGTCTTCCATGAGAACGCGAAAGCTGGACTCGCCACGTTTGTTCGCGCCTGTTGATCGATCGCAGCACGGCACTGGAACGAACATGGTGATCCAACTTTTGCGTTCTTATGGAATACAACTTATCCATTAAGATCTCATCAAGCGCAGAATAGCTGAAGTCGATTGCATTGAATTGTTCGTTTCGACGCGCGCGATACGCGCTTTGCCCGCATTGGC